GGATTCCTCGAAACCCAACTTTTCTTTGAATGTTCCTACCCTGATCATTGAATTTCACAGCCTTGCTTCCCCAAAGATATTCTGATTAAGGCTGGAGTGGACTACAGCTTCGACCTCGCCTAGGTCTTATCAACACGCCCAAAGGGACTCCAACCCGGGATGTAGCAGTGCAGTGCATAATCTCGGCATATCACCACTACACAACACTGTCACAAGCGTCCTTGTGTCACAGAACAGACGTGCATTTCAAGAAAAGCCAAACCTCTTCTCTATCGTATTTATACTGGGACTGTCGATGAGGCAAACTTGCATTTTGCCATTACAATCGACAACGTTAATTATATTTGTTGAAAGGTTTCGATAGAAGCTACCCGTCCGTCATCGTCTTTTGCGATCTAGGATGAAAAGAACTCCTGCTCAAGATTAATTCAGTGTCGAAAAGCTACTTTATATTAATCTAACTTTAAGTCGGCGTCAACGACAATCCCATTAGTAAAAAAGTGTGATTTGAGACGGGCCTAAATTGCCCTAAAAGTTACATCTGCCCAGTGATTTACTGAGGCCCGTCATTGTAGCAAAGTGGTGAAGCGCATTAAATTCGAGTTCGAATCCTACTGGGGATACCGGTGATGTTGGAAACGCAATGAAATTCATTTGCATTGTGAGATCATCGTGACTCATATCACCGTGGTAAAAATTCTACTATCAATTATCAAATCACTTTATTCTTGTTCGAAAATTATTGATAACTTAAGAGCATACTCATCTCGGAAAAAAGTGAAGAATATCGAAAAGGCATTCATTCTATTCAATTCGTTATTAGTAGACTGACTGTCAGGCAGACAAGAAAGAGTGGTACCCGAAATACGAAATCTGAGCAAATTTTCGCCAAAACAGAAGGCAAATGCCTCGAAAACTGCGCCAACCAGAAGGTCACAAAAAGCCAAGGCAGACTGGCAGTCGTCTTCTCGAGGGATCGACTTTCGCAAATTTCTTCATCTTACACTGTTACGGGAAATTAAAATAAAAGCAACAATTGTAAGCCAAATGACACTTGGAGAAAATATCTTTTATTTTTCGAATTAAGTATTGTTTTCGTGATTGGTTAGAGTGCCAAGCTCCCATCCTGCACTGTCGCGGTTCGACTCCCGCTGAGGGTGTTGATAAGACCGATGCGAGG